TGTCACTTTAAATGCAAATGAGCTGCTGCTCCCCGCCCCCTTTTCCAGAATAGCGCTGAACCATTAGAGCTCGGACCTGCTAAAAACATCTGTTTTGGTTCTGATTATGACGTGATGTGACATGTGGCCAAGTATGGTGACCCATACTTGGAATTAGTGCTCTGCATTTATCCCATCCAAAGTGCACACACACACACAGCAGTGAACACACACCCGGAGCAGTGGGCAGCCATTTATGCTGCGGCACCCGGGGAGCAGTTGGGGGTTCGGTGCCTTGCTCAAGGGCACCTCAGTCGTGGTATTGAAGGTGGAAGAGAGTGCTGTACATTCACTCCCCCCACCTACAATCCCTGCTGGTACGAGACTCGAACCCGCAACCTTTGGGTTACGAGTCCGACTCTCTAACCATTAGGCCACGACTTCCCCATCATGTTTATCGCGCTGAAATCATGCGTTTTAAACCATATGAGTTCAAACTTCTGATATACGGTTTTCTGAGTGCACACATCCGAAGCACACGGACAGAAAGCGGCTGTCACAGCATGTGAGTACTAAACTAAGTTCTCATTCACACACAAGTTTACGTTAAAAACACACATGAGTTACAAAAAAGTCGGTTATGTCTGTGAAGGTACACAGCTGGGAAATAAATTGCATGTTTATTTTAGATCTGTTTGGCAGCAGCAATAAATCAATAAATCCACTGCTCTAGTCTCCTCTGAGGCTGGGACTCTAAATAGTGTTCTGCAGCCAAAGACAGAACAGTTAGCATGTTTTGCTCAAACCTTCACCATGGCATTAGAGCTGGTACACCGTTGTCGCTTGCGAAATCAAATGACGGCGCTGTGGGTGGAAACTTACAGATTAAGGGGCGGTAATATTATAATGAGATCCCTTTGCCACGTCACCAAGGGAGTGAAATCAGACCGCTCGTTTTCTCAGACACTTTCAGAAAAAGGCTTACCAAAACAAAGTTACTGGGTTAATATTTTACACGTTTCCTTGGTTGGTAGATGCACTGGGGACCTGATTAAAGCACTTAAAACCTGGAAAAGTCAGATTTTCATGATATGTCCCCTTTAAGCAATTGTATTTAGCTCTGCAAGAACACTATATTGATCAATCAGCATTGAGGATCGAAACAATATGTTTTAGAACTGGAAATAAAGACCTGATTTTTCTCACACCATATGCTACTATAAACATAACACTTAGAACTGCTAAATTATGAAATGTTTCTGAGGTCATGTCAGCCGTTTACTCGCTGACCTAACAGCACATAGTTTAATTTTAGGAGAGTTTCATTGATTTTTCTATACAAAAATGTGTTATTTAAATTGTCCTTTATGTGTGGGGCTGCTCTTCTAGGATGAACTTCTGATAATGTAACATGTATCTACGTTTGTAATTACTGTAGTGGATTTTTTGGTCACACTTTATTTTACAGTGTCCTTGATACAAGTGTAACTGTACATTTAAGTACTGAGTACTATTAATTAACAACATGTGCTTACTATAGGATTAGGGCTTTTTAGAGTTAGTTGCAAGCAGTTATGCATTATTTACTGTTATTATACTACAGTAAGTGCACATAACATGACAGTTTTCTCTATGTAAACAGTCCGTTTCTAGTATCCACACGTGTCATGCGAAAATGACCAGATTTACATTGTCATCACAGCAGTTAAAAATGAATATAATGTTGCTAAATATGGTTAGTAACCATTTTTTACCATTTTAAGTTTTATGTTAACACATATAATGTATATGTTTTATGGTTATACTTTTGAAACTGTGTGAATTTTAAAGTTTTTTCCAACACCAAGTCTTGCCCCAAACAGGCTTTCATTGTAAATTAGACTGCCTAGTAGCGACCATGGTGGTGTAGTTCGTTTATAGCCTAAGTTTAGCTTTTAAGTTCTTGCGCTTTTATTTAGGCATCAAAATTCATAAAAGTTATATTATTTTGTGAAGATTATCTTGGCTTTTTGTACAGGGAACGTCTGATGGACGACATAGGGGGTTCACTTGGGAGTCCCAATCCTCTCCGACTTTAAGAGAAAACACCAATGAAATTTGTCTAGTAGATTTTGCATACCTGAGCCCTTTCCCGTGCATACGGGTATAAATAGGCAACAGGTGCATCCTCTCTTCTTGTTTTATGCTGAGGAGCCGAGAACTTGTCCCTGGCAACCAGCGAACCAGGGATTCGAGGTTGTGGCATGGGGACATAACGTTTCCGTCCCCTCCATCATGGAACGAGGGTTACGTACGTAACTGAGACATTCCCTATCTGTCGGTCACTACGAGTTATATCGTGATGACATAGGGGGTCCATAGAAAGCGCCACAACCTGAACCCCGTCACAACCCTGTAGCGCTGCAAATGTTGAAAAGCAGCCGCATGTTAGACAAATGCTACGCAAAGGTCGTAACCTCCCCAATGCCCCAGCGCAAATTTGCTGACCTTGGCACCTGCAGGGAGATAGCCAAGCTGCTGTTCCTATGACAGAAATGTTTTCTTAAGAGAAGGGATTTCGACCTTTATGAAAGATGCTTCAACGCCTTTCCTGTTTGTGGTTTACACACAAACCGCCGACCGGGGAACTTACTGGAGGAGGAAAAGGCACTCACATCTTCAGGTGAGGGGGAATGGCGCAGCAAGCGTGACCCCGGCCGGCTCTTCCCGCCACTTACCTGTTACACAACATACGGGAAGAAACCGGCTCAACACGGAGACTGTAAAAACTCACGAAGCTGTTCGGTGTAACCCAGCCCTACAGATGTCTACCAAAGAGGTGTCTGGGATTGGTAGGCCAAGGCGATGGCATCCACTATCCACTGGGCCAACCTCTGCTTGGAGAGAACCTTCCCTTTCTGCTGACCTCCATAGCAGACAAAGAGCAGCTCAGAGCTTCTGAAGCTCCGGGTGCGGTCCATGTATATGCGCTACGCTCTTACGGGACACAGCAACGCCACGGCTGGATCTGCCTCCTCCAAGGGCAGTGCTTGCAGGTTCACCACCTGATCACGAAAGGGCGTGGTGGGAACCTTGGGCACGTATCCAGGCTGGGGTCTCAAGACAACGTGAGAGTAGGCCGGCCCGAACACAAGGTACTCTTCGCTCACCGAAAATGCTTGGAGGTCCCCAACCCTCTTGATGGTCAGGCGGTCAAGAGCGCTGTCTTAGCAGACAGGAACTTAAGCTCAACTGAGTCCAGCGGCTCAAAGGGATCCCTCTTAAGGCCAGCCGGGACAGTAGAGAGGACTCCCAGGATGGCACCAGTGGTGGCCTAGGAGGATTTAACCTTCTGGCACCCCTCAGGAACCTGACGCTGAGATCATACTTTCCCAGGGACCGGCCGTCCACTGCATCGTGATGTCCTGTGATAGGCTTGCCTCGTCGAGGGAGCTCTAGCCTGAGTGATCGTGTTTCGATCACTTAAGTCTGCCACGTCCCGTCCAGGAGCCACACGTGGAGGTCCCAGAGATCTGGACGCAGGTGCCATATGGTGCCGAGCCCCTGAGAAAGGAGGTCCTTCCTCTAAGGGATGCGCCAGAGAGGGGCTGTCGCGAGGACCATGAGTTCCGAAAACCAGGTTCGTGTGGGCCAGTACGGCACAACCAGCAAGACCTCTTCCTCGTCCTCCCTGACCTTGCTCAGTGTCTGTGCGAGAAGGCTCACTGGGGGAAACGCATACTTGCGTAGAGCCCGAGGCCAGTTGTCTGCCAGTGCGTCCGTGCCTCGTGCATCGGTCAGGGAGTAATACAGCTGGCAGTGGGAGGACTCGCGGGTAGCAAACAGGTCTACCTGGGCTTCCCCAAATCTACTCCAGATCAGCCAGACTGTCTTGGGATGGAGTCGCCATTCCCCGAGGAATGCGAGTTGTCGTGAGAGTACGTTGGATGCACAATTGAGCTCCCCCGGAATGTGGATGGCGTGCAGCGGCTTGAGCCACGTCTGACTCCAGAGGAGGAGATGACGGGCGAGCTGTGACATGCGACGTGAACATAGACATCCCTGCCGGTTGATGTACGACACGGCCGCAGTGTTGTCCATGCGAACCAACACGTGCTTGTCCTGTAGCAGTAGCCGGAACTGCCGTAAGGTAAGATGCACTGCCAACAGCTCTAGACAGTTGATGTGCCAAAGCAGTCGAGGCCCCCGTCCAGAGCCCCAAGGCTGCAAAACAAACACATATTAATAAAAGAAGGACTCTTCATATTTAATGGTATTTAATTATTTGTATATTTCATTCAATATGTTACACTTTCTAGAAAACTTTTGTTTTATAAAAGTTGTTATAATCACTGATCTATAATAGAGAATATATTATAGATCAGAAGTTAACCCACACTTTGACTGTGTTTACGTTGCATACACCGTTATGACCAGAGAGTTTCGCCATTGTTTCGGGCGCTTCGAAAGAGTGAATCATTTTGTGAAGCAATTGGTTCAAATGATTCGGACTTCCGAAGCTTCGTCACTATTCAATTCAGCTTGAGATGATGATATGATGATTGTTTTGTTTGGTAGCGTTGAATGATGCTGCAATGAACTGTAGGTCGGTTATAACAGTTTTTCTTTTGTAAAACCATAACAATAGCTGTACAGAGGAAGACTGCAATACACACTTAACAAACAACTTGTATTATTTTATATTTGCACATAAACCTGGTCACTTTCCTCCACTTCCATTTCAAACATCCATAAGGTGACATGAACTATCCATGTTTCAGTAATAATAAAGATGCCAAACATTTTGAATCATTGATATTTTATTATGTTTCTCCTCAGAAGGCCAGTCTGGTAGCTGAGCCCATCTACAGGAATTAGTGTTTTTCCTAACATCTCTTCTCGCACACATCTACCCACAGCACATACACTCCTTGGTAATCTATCACAAACTAGTTAATGTAATGCGTATGACCACCCTGTGTGACAATTACACATGATTATGGTGATCCACTCACATGAACATCTAGTGTGTTTTTTTTAAGTTACAGTTAGTGTGGCATGGACATCACAATTAGTTTGGCATGGCATCAGGGGAACTAGGAAAGCAGGATTTGAGCAGGCAGGAACCTGTGCACTTTAGACTGTCTCTATCTCTCCAGGCAGATCAGCAAGCACTAGTGACGTTCACAACGACAACTGCAAAACACCCACAAGTTACAGGCAATATCAGACAATAGAAGTCACAGGTCAGATGTGTGAACGATATGCTGACATTTCTCTGTTTACTTGCTCTGTTTCACTGGTAGAATTTGATCTCGGCTTCCACGCAGTCGAAGAACAGATCCTGGCCCTGTATCTGCCCCTTAAGCATGACCTCGATCTCCTCAAGACTCCAGGTATCTCATAGTCTCCTGTAGAGAGACTCCAGCTCCTGACACACACACAGGGTTGTTAAAGGAATATTGCAGATTCAGCGTAAGTTAAGCCCAGTGAGAGCAGTTGTAACATAATATTTGATGACTACACAAATAATTTCCAATTGTTCCTCCTTTTCAGCAAAAATATGGGTTACTGCCAGGCACTTACTGTTACGGGGCTGACGAGACATGAGACGTGCGGATCCAAGTGCAAAGCTTTATTATCAGACATGGTTAGAGACAGGCAGGGGTCAGATAGTGGCAACAGATATATAGAGGGCAAGACATAACAATATTCCTAGGGCTAGCGTGGGTCTACGAACGGCGAACAGAATTAACAGGGAAAGACTAGAGGGATAACTCCAAGTATAAGGCAAAGGCCCAGGCAGGGACAAACAGTATCTGAATAGGGCAAGACGAGAGGGGGAATACGAGGTGCACAGGCAAAGATCAGGATACGAGAAGACAGACAAGGCAAGACTAAGGTAAGGCTATGAAAACTAACGGGCTCCGTAGAGTTGCTATCGCTAGGACTATCTCTGGACCTTACACAGTTGAGAGGAAGCTAAGTGACACCAACTATGTCATCTGTACTCCCGATCGGAAGAAGAAAAGCAGGTTATGTCATGTGAACATGTTAAAGGTTTATGTTGCACGGAATGTGAATAAAACGAGTTCTGTTAAACCAGTGCCTGTGACTACTATAGTTTTGCCTCCAGTGTATTGCCCTGAGGAGGATGGATTAATGGAAAAAGATGTTCCAACTTCTTGTGGCCGCATGCAGAATTCTGCCATTGTGGCTAACTTGAAGACCTGTCTTTCCCATTTGTCTGCAAGTGAGTTTGAAGCCATCAGTAGTTTGATTGGGAAATATTCCAGCCTTTATGCCGATGTGCCGTCCCAAACTACTGTACTATGTCATGATATTGATGTAGGTGACAGTCCACCAATTAAGCAGCATCCTTACCGAGTGAATCCAAAGA